CGTCAGGGCATCGCTCAACACGACCGATATTAATATTGTATCTCCGTGTTGATATTTCCACTGAAACGTCGTTAGAAAGGAGCTATTTGCACGACCGAAGTTTCTGAACAAGATGATTTTGAGTTTTTTAATAATACCGAGGACGATAGAGAGTTTTCCTTTAGAGGCAAGCTCTCAGACGTCTAATTTTAATTACATTATAAGATTAGGTAATATGCAATTGATACGCAGTATTTGCTAGAAGCGGAAGAGGAATGTCAGAAACTAAGTCAGCATCAAAAACACCACTTTGGAGCGACTGGTCCCACAACACAGGTCCATGAGGAGAATTACCACGTGTATAGATTGGCTATAGGCACTTCAATTAATAAGTCTCCCCCCTTGTAGCTGCCGCGATGTAGCAGGAGTTACGTCGGACTGACGGCCGAAGATCTAAGACGTACAGTATATCTGCTTGTTCCTCTGTATTGGCTTTGTTACCTCTACCAGACCGTATTAAGATAAGTCTATGATAGAAAGTGTCTTTACTTATCCCTCGCCTAGCCTTCGAATACCTGTCCTCAGGTTAAGCTTATATACAAAGTATATACGTTGGAAATTCATCTATTAGTGGGATATTGATATTGCTTCCTAACATTTCTACCAACTTCCCACGTTGTTTCAATCTTTGGATTTCCCCATTTTATCTCCCCCTCCACCTTCTTCCACCAGATTCCCCCGTTTCATCACACCATCCACCTTCTTCCACCAGATTCCCCCGTTTCACCACACCATCCCCTGTCTTCCACCAGATTCCCCCGTTTCATCACACCATCCACCATCTTCCACCAGATTCCCTCGTTTCATCACACCATCCACCTTCCTCCACCAGATTCCTCCGTTTCACCACACCATCCCCTTTCTTCCACCAGATTCCCCCGTTTCATCACACCATCCACCTTCTTCCACTAGATTTCCCCGTTTCACCGCACCATCCACCTTCTTCCACCAGATTCCCCCGTTTCACCACACCATCCACCTTCTTCCACCAGATTCCCCCGTTTCACCACACCATCCTTTTTCTTCCACCAGATTCCCCCGTATCACCACACCATTCACCTTCTTCCACCAGATTCCTCCGTTTCATCACACCATCCACCTTCTTTCACCAGATTCCCCGTTTCACCACACCATCCACCTTCTTCCACCAGATTCCTCCGTTTCACCACACCATCCACCTTCTTCCACCAGATTCCCTCGTTTCATGAGTCCCCTCATAAGGCACCTCATGAGTGACTGCCGTAAGGGTAGGAGGCAGTGGCGCTCTTTTTACCCACGGCCGCCGAGACAAAAGAGCGGCTACGGGTCTTTACACTTCCTCGTAAGACTGACGAATAATTAAGACTTTGTGTGGCTTTTTCGGAGCGTGAGTGGCAGGTATTGACGGAGCAGTTGATGGCCCGAGAACACCGTACCGCCGTCTGCACTAATGCTAGAATATTTTCGGGATATTCTTAACTTATTATTAGGGAAAAGTGTATCATATTTTCGGTGAAAACTGTTCTTTTTTACGAAGAAGAAAAGGAGACAATTAATATGCTTTAGAAACTATTATATGGACAGTGTGTGAGAGAAATTGTTTATCGGTATATAGGGTCGTTAATAATTAACGGAACATTACATTAATTATTCGGAGTTGGTATATATATCACTAAGAAATATCTTCAATTACTTTTAAAAAACCTACATATTGACCTTGGTAGCATGAAAATATTTTTAACATACAATTAATAAAAAACAAGTTATGACATTGTCCATATTCTAGTCGTATTGTTGCGAATCGCACAATAAACCCGGTTATTCGGTCTTAAATAATCAACTGGTGCCTATATAATTCGAGTATTAGTACGCAAGTGAGTTATATATAAAATAATAAAATAAGAAATAATGAACTGAGAATAATGACTCATTCAAATGAAAATCCAATTTCAATGAAAAATTTGCATTTACACTCAAAATTTTTTTTACGACTCATTTCAGTCGTAAATTACATCAAGTCAATAATAGATTATACAGGTTTCGCGCAATCTATTGACCACGTATTAACTAAACTGTTACGTCATGTGCATCAATGTTTCAATAATAAATCATTTTTGGGTTCAAGTAGGAAAATGCTGACGCAATTCATGCGACGAATAACACAAAAAATTCTCCAAAAATAATCGGGAGTTTTGAGGAAAAATGCGACGCCTCATGACGTTAGAACAGGCCAACATATGCAACATTAACCCGCCAACTCACTTTTTCAAAGTAGTCAACATCCTGCGTGCAACATATCAACATGTTCTATATGAACAAGCCAACATAATCCACTTCAAACCAACATTCAACATAGAAACAAGCAAGTGTCCCCTGCAAGAGCAAGTTTAAATATGCAGAAAGACAATGGCGATCAATGCATGTATCGTATACAGTATATATCATATTAAAAGGACAGCAGCAGCTCATATTATACGCAATATGGATTGAAATACAACAAATGGAAATTACAAAGAAACAGATGCATGAGTTTGGACAAAATGAAGCCTTGAATGCAAAAGTTATAATCAAACAAACAAGGAAAATACAGGCCGAGATTCCGTATTATTAATACGCTGACAAAAGTTCCTTGTGCAGTCAGAATAAACTGACAAAGGCAGTAAGAATTAAAATAACAGCTGTGACAATAATAAAAATGCAGCATTAATATAAGAGACAAAAGCAGCAATAATATGCTAACAAGTGCAGTATGAAAAAGACGCAATAATTAGCCGTGTATGTTGCAGCAAAAATAAGTTGACATATTCATCAATAATAACCCGACAACTTCAGCAATAAAAGGCAGATGAATTCTGCAATTATAAATGCAGCAATAATAGGCGCAAAATGCATAAATTTTCGGTGTGGATGCAATGCAGGAAGGCGCCGCTGGCAGGGCATTTATGCATCCTGTGCGGCATGCGATGGAGGAAGCCCTCGTGATGCTCCACATCCTCTGCCCTCACCACCGTCAGCGCTCCACCAAACTCCGCCGATTGTCGTTATCAGGATTTTTTGACCTAGATTACGAGCATTCGTTATTCAGGATTTTTGACCTAGATTACGAGCTGTCGTTATTCAGAAATTTTTGACCTAGATTACGAGCTGTCGTTAGTCGGGATTTTTTACCTAGATTACGAGCTGTCGTTATTCAGAATTTTTTTACCTAGATTCCGAGCTGTCGTTTTTCCGGATTTTTTTACCTAGATTACAAGCTGACGTTATTTAGGATTTTTGACCTAGATTACGAGCTGACGTTATTTAGGATTTTTGACCTAGATTACGAGCTGTCGTTATTCAGGATTTTTTTATCTAGATTGCGAGCAGTCGTTCGTTATTCAGGATTTTTTGACCTAGATGCCGAGCTGTCGTTATTCAGGATTTTTGACCTAGATTACGAGCTGTCGTTATTCAGGATTTTTTGACCTAGATTACGAGCTGTCATTATTCAGGATTTTTGACCTAGATTACAAGCTGTCGTTATTCAGGATTTTTTACCTAGATTATGAGCTGTCGTTGTTCAGGTTATTGACGAGCTATCGTTATTCAGAACTTCTTGACCTAGATTACGAGCTGTCTTTATTCAGGATTTTTTGACTCGGAAAACAATCTGTCGTTATTCAGGATTTTTGAGTTAAATTACGAGCCGTCGTTATTCAGGATTTTTTACCTAGATTACGAGCTGTCGTTATTCAGGATTTTTTCCCTAGATTACGATCTATCTTTATTCAGGATTTTAACCTAGATTACGAGCTATCGTTATTCAGGGTTTTTGCCTAGAGTACGAGCTTTCGTTATTCACGATTTTTGACCTAGATTTCGAGCTATCGTCATTCAGGATTTTTTTACCTAGATTACGAACTGTTGTTATTCAGGATTTTTTACATAGATTACGAGCTGTCGTTATTCAGGATTTTTATCTAAATTACGAGCTGTCGGTGTCGTTATTCAGGATTTTCGACTTAGATTACAAACCGTCGTTATTCAGGATTTTTTTTCCTAGTTTACGAGCTGTCTTTATACAGGATTTTTTACTTGGATTACGAGCTGTCGTTATTCAGGATTTTTTACCTAGATTACAAGCTTAAATTTGTTCATCTTGAACAAATAGTGACAAAATTTTCCACCCACAGCACAAGCAGAGAGCGCACGTGTGTGTCAGGATGACACACTTGAGGGCTAAAAGTGCATCGATATTTGGACACACTCATTTCCTGTATTGGAACCCTGAACGTGCACTGGAGGCATTGAAAAAATATGAGTGCGTGCAAGTAGAATTAAAATCCTTGATTTGCATACTGCAAACAAATGAAAGGAAACTTGGAAATAATGAAAAAGGAAGAAAGTTCTTAGTTTTTTGGCGTTCACCTCTTCTTAAAATTTGGTGCAAGTTTTTCACCACTTACGGTCGTCTGCACAATAACATTGGAAAAGGGTATGGTTGAGCTGGAGTTTTGATTAGGTTGGTTAATTAAGCTTTAGATCATTTCCTTGGGTAAATTAGGACCATTAATAGAACACGCTTAGTTCATTGCCGCTTATACTAAATCTGTTGTATTAACAATTAATCTTATAATCTGTAGCATCAGCGCATATTCATTTCATGTAAATTAAAGCTTATAATCTCAACCGTTAGAGCGGCGGCCAATCCACTGCATGAAGTTATAGTCAGAGCAATCGTCACAAATCCACAGCATGACCTTTAAGCTTAGGATCTGAACCGCTAATATCCTATCCACTGTATGGATATGTCAGTCTCTACCCAGTAGCGTCCTGCGCTCTGTAATAAGTTTGTTGATCGGATGTACGTAGCCAGGGCTCATGATATCATCTCTGGAAGACGCGAACTTCCATGCTAAGTTGCCGGCATTAAATAACTTCAAACACGACATCCCATTATTGCTACAGACAAATTCTTGCTCGCCAACTACTTCCCATTTCCATTAAATAGGCGATGGGTCTGAGTCTACATTAAGAAACATCTTTTGAAACGTGTTTGCAGATTCACCGTCCATGTTCAGTAGCGGCATGGGTTCACCGCACATGTTCAGTAGCGGGGTGGGTTCACCGCACATGTTCAGTAGCGGCATGGGTTCACCGTCCATTTTCAGTAGCGGGGTGGGTTCACCGCACATGTTCAGTAGTGGAGTGGGTTCACCGCACATGTTCAGTAGTGGAGTGGGTTCACCGCACATGTTCAGTAGCGGCGTGGGTTCACCGCACATGTTCAGTAGCAGCGTAGGTTCATCGTCCATGTTCATTACGTAGCGGAGTGGGTTCACCGTCCATGTTCAGTAGCGCCGTGGATTCCACATCCACGTACGTGGCCTGAACTTGGAACCCGAGGGTTTCAGCGTCGTAATTGAAATCATTAATGCTTCAAAGCAGTTGAAAAAATCTTGAACGTTATTTTCTGCAGTAGACGGTTGTGAATTTCTGTGCTGTGTGAGCGTGAACATAGACTAGCCGGCCACCACACATAACTAGCGCGGTTGGATTTGAAAATGAATGGTGAGAAAACGAAACGTACATATATACGTGAGCATACGAATCCATGATACTTTCAGTGCAGAAGGGAATAATCAAACTATCGTCATAATGACGTCAGTATGTCAAAATTATGAGACATAGAGCGTGACAAAAATAATTAATTCTAAGTATAAGGCTAGCAGAAGACTTGGAACATTAATTCGAGTTGCATATTCATTTTTCACAACAATGTCACTGTCAAATCTACTAGTGTAGGGTTTTTGTAGCACAATAGTTATTATAGCCCTTAATTCGGAAGCACTGTTAACATAAATTTACGACAGCAGTTTCAATAACCAAAAAGTTGAAAAAATGCGGCGAAAGCGGTAAAACTGTACAAAACCTATTTTGTTAGAACAAAAGCAGGTACCGCAATCATAATACAGCGATACCTAAGTTACATGATATATTGACCATCTAAACACTAATTTTGTACCATAGTTGCTTAAGTTACATCAAAATTATGCCGCAGCTGCAACTCTAATGTAGCCAAAATACTATAACATCAGCTACATCACAACTAGACCTTCAAATAGAACAGTTACAAAGCTGTTTGAGCACATTTACACTATTGATAAATCACTTTCTCCTTACCTATTACCCTATTATCGCAGTACCTATGTTATGGCGACCTATTACCCTACACGATATTATGGCAGATTCTTCACCCATATAAAAGAGCTAAGCCGCAATAGCGCCATATACAGCGGACTTGGCCCATTTATAGGAGCTACACAGCATTTGCATCACACTTTTACCGCAGTTATACCGTTGCTGGGCATCAGTTATTTCAACGTTGGGCGGCAGTTACATTACAGGTACGACTTATTTACACTCAGTAACAGCACTGCAACACCAAGTTACAGCACTGCAAAACTAAGTTACAGCGGTGACACTCCAACTACAATAGTTACACCCCAGTTACTCCCCAGTTACTTCCCAGTTGCACCCCAGTTACACCTCAGCTACACCTCAGCTACACCCCAGTTACACCCCAGTTACACCCCAGTTACACCCCAGTTACACCCCAGTTACACCCCAGTTACACCCCAGTTACACCCAGTTACTCCCCAGTTACACCCTAGTTACACCCCAGTTACACCTCAGTTACACCTCAGTTACACCCCGGCAGTTACACCACAGCAGATTTAAGCGCATTAACCACTCAGACGTTCTCACCTGGCTCGCCATAGAGACGACCTCCCGGCCCGATTGTCTCCATTAGAATTACAGATGAAGTCTTGTCTTATTGAACCCTTTGCAGCCTCGCTCCCGGCGGTAGCTGCTTCGAGAAAACTTCTTACGACTTATTTCCATCAGTTTTATTCATTCTGCATGATGAACAACACTTTTTCCATGCATTACAAGTACCGGGCTTCTCTTCTATGCTGTGCATGGTTGCCTAGGTGGTGCTAAGCAACGTACACGAGAATTCGATTATTTCAATCCTATTCGATTTCGACGAAATATGGATAGTCAATTATAGTTCAGCGCCCAACAGGAAAGCATCGAGAATTAAATTTTTACCCGTCGTTGTTGCCTATACACATACCTTACATACCTAATCGAAATTTTAAAAGAAATTTTCGTAACAAAAATTCAGCTTACAGGCAAATTAGAATGCCTGATAGAATTAAAAATAAGTATTTTAACTGACTCCAAACTTTAAATATATAATAGTTAAGTTATCGGATGAATATCCATTTTGACGTGACTTCTGATACTCGTGAGTCGCTGCGATAGTTTCCTCCCAGGATAAGCACAAACTATCAGTTTCTATTTTCCGTTACCATGCATAAACCGGTACGAAAACGTAATAATCATACGTTGTCAGATGAGCATGCACCAAAGTTACAGTGAGCACGAATGTTACAGTGAACATCGAAGTTACAGTGAGCACCAAAGTTATACAGTGAGCACCAAAGTTATGGGCGATGCTGAACCTACTGGTCGGCCGTTTCAATAAGGAATAAATATAGTAACCAATTAAATTCCCAGAACGAATGAGAAAGCCCCCGCGGGGTAATTTGTTGTACAGAATGCCCGAGCAAATGAGCGTACGGAAAGCATCCATAAATTTGTTTTATGCTACACGGAATTAACGATCGGTCCAACGATCGCTTTAATTAAGCCCGTATCTTGGATACTCCACTTTGTTTCAGTCGTGGATGAGGATAAATTTAATTTAGTCAATGAAGATAATGAATTTTTTTCATCTATTATTGGCTGTAGCTATGCACCATATATAGCACTGGTCTGGGATGTTTGGTGCAATCAAAATCATATGCTCGTTAGGTCTTAATGGTATCACTGCTGCTATCAAAAAGACTTGTCTGGTTGTTTTCGGTTTAAATTAAACCGTTCCATTTCACTAAACAATTATGGATATCTCTCATGAAAATATTTTCTTGGAAGTTTACTGCAAAGGTAGAATTCATGCGTGTGAAATTAAACCTTCTATAAATCATCTGGTTCCCATTAGCCTGAGAAAACGATAGTCTGGTATCTGAAAGTTTCGCATGGGCGACAGTTGCGATTGTCCTGACATATTTGGCAGCTCAAGACATCGATTTGAACACAAACGAGTCTGGGAAATTCTTAAGCTTGTGAGAAAATCTTGAAAAGACGTCCCCGGAACTGGTCACGCAGGCACCGATTTTTTGAGAGTCATTTTTTGAGTTTGGCGCAGCTGCGCTACAAGACGGAATCCAAGGGGAAGTGAAGTGGATGGCTTAAAAATCTTGCAATGGATTAGGAGATAAAATTGCGTCCACTGCGACGTTACAGGGAACACAGGAACTTTCGAAAAGATGAGGGAGAAGCGCAAGAATGCGGTAAGGAGTGCAGAATAGCGACAACACAGAACGGAAGAGCACGTCTGAAATGCAGATCCGGTTTGCCACTCAAAAGACGCGCCCTCGCGACTCTGGTCGAGTGTTTGATTAATTTCTTAAGGGGTTAAAATTCGTGGTAAACTGTTTACCCGTGAGATTATTTTCGAACGGACCAGAATGTAAAGATATGAGAATGAAATTAAAATGCTAAACTCACAGCTGCTCCGGGCGTCCAAGTTAGGAAGAATATGCATTAGAAGCTCATTGTCGACCAAAAAAATAAAAATTAGTGACTACATTCGTCAAAAATTATCAAATCTGAGTTGGGATTGGCAAATATCGACGGTTAATCCAGCAGGAGCTTTCATGCTTGTGTTTGAGAATAACTTGCACTCTGGTGGAACTGGTCAGAGTGTTTGCAGATGAGAAATTATTTGGCAATTTCGTTGAAACCGTTTCATGAGGTTTTCCGTTGAACTCTGCTAACAATTTTGTTGAGTTAGAAATTTAGTGTCAGAATTGTTTGAAGTTTAAATCGGAATGTCTAATGCAAAATTGTTTTTCTGTTCATATATTATGCATCTCAATCAAAGAGATTCAATCAATCATTATATATCAACCTCTCAATCAATCATTATATATCAAAATATATTATACATCAAAATCAAATCTTCACGATATCATTTGAATTTAAAGGAAAATTGGCTCATGTCAGCGCGTGTGTATGCAAAACCCGGAGTAATGGGACATTCCCAAGATAATTGAGCTTTCAGCCTGAGTTATTTTAGTTAGATAATAAACTACATTTAGAGAATGAGTTAGGGATTAAAGCGCCATTGCGTAACGCTTTAAGCTATTAAATGACGCTATTTATAAGCTATTGAATGACGCTTTAAGCTATTATAACGCTTTATGCTATTAAATTAAATTTCATGTACTTATTATTCCATCACCTATTCTTGATTTTGCGATTTTATTCAAAAATAAACTAATTTCACTTTGCTGTTTGTACGAATTGTAATGTTCAGCTAATTTCGTATCCTGAGACTACTTCAAAAGAATATGTTAACCTATGAATTCATTTAGAAAGTTATTATGAAACAAAAAAGAAACAATTTTGTTTCGCTCTGGTCAGGGTGGATAAAATTGGTTTTCAACGGATATTTAATTTGACTGGAATTATATAGTGGTTAACCTAGCGAGTTTTCACATTAACTATCTTAATAAGATTGGAATTTGGCCTCGAATTTGGGTTTAATTGGGCCGACACGAAACAAATTGTATTTTGGATTCAAAGCTCGTGATTTGCATTGATGTAAATTATTTCTTAAATGTCTATCAAGTTTCTCTGCGAACTGTTAAGCTGATTTGATTCCAATAGTCAGCAGCGGTCATTTTAAATCGATTAAATGTTTTATACAATATACGAGGTAAAAAATTCGTCTTGGGTCTGTATCATATGATTGTATAATATAATTTTGAAATGATTTACAATTAAAATCGTACGTTTTTTCAGTTGTTTTTTATAGACTGAGCTTGTGTTGTTGGGCTAAGATATTAACGCTAGTTCCAATATGTTATCAAGAGATCGAACTAATTCGTCCTGAAGCCGTTTTCGTGTTCGTAAAGCTTGTCAGCAACACAGCGTGGGCGGCGACAGCAGCGATAGGCTGCCCTCGATCACATGACCCATAACTTTCGATCAACGTCGGATTAAACGTTGTTTTGTAGAATCAGCGTAACATATAAACGTTGTTTTGTAGAATCAGCGTAACATATAAACGTTGTTTTGTAGAATCAGCGTAACATAGAATCAACGCCACATAAACGTTGTTTCGTTGAATCAACATTACCCAAACGTTGTTTTATTGAATAAAACTTACAAAAGCGTT